GTGAAGAAATAATGGTTCAAAACTTTTTAAGTTTGATGAAAACTATGAACAACATAAAAGAAGCCCAGTGAACCCAAAGCACAGATCTCTTCTGTTTCCAGTGCGTGGCTCCCAGCTGGCATGCGATCGATGTCTGCGGAATGGCTGGATGAACGGTTGGCGTCAGTGCAGGCTGTCTCCCTGCTTTCTCCCTTTCTTCTCCTCTTCTCCTCCCACCCCAGCACCCACTTTGCTTCTCTCTTGCTTCCAGTGCTTCTGTTGGCCAGAGTTGTCTTGGATGCCTATGGTGGCCTCTGGGCTTTAAAAGCCACTTGACCTTTAGTCTAGGAGCTTTTCCTTGCTGTAGGCTTTGCCACTGAGAGCCTCCAATGGTTCAGCCTCCTCCAAATTTGAGCATAGCCAGGGGTTTAGAGATTAAAACTAAAATATTGTCAGTCCTGCCGGCACAGACTTCCCAGGGACTCCTGTTCTCGTAGTTCCCCTGTGGTAGCCGGGTCAGGAGGAGTGCCCAGGATGGACTGGATGTTGTGTTCTGCCCGGGTGTGTGGCCTCATTCATGGCCCACCTCTGTAACTCCTTTGCCATGTGAGGTCAGGCTGGTTGCTTCACTTCTCTGGGCTTCTGTTTACTGGCGTTTGGATGTGATGATTTTCTAATCCCTTCTAGCTCTGACGTCTTGTACGCCCCTGCCACTGTCCCTTGACCATCTTCTCTTTGCCATGCCTCATCCTTGCTAATGATGTGTGGAACCTGGAGAGGAGGAAGGCAGGTGGGCCTCAGACCTGTTGTCCCTGCCAGGTCCCTTCCTTCAATGGCTTCCCAGAGTTTTCAGGTCTAATTTCAAACTCCTAACTCAGCACACCAGGACCTGATTCTTAGAGCACGGTCTCTGGAATCACCTGCATCAGAATTAGCACTGCCTCTACCCACCATCCTCAGCTTGCTAACAGGGAAGATTCTGATTGGGAAGATCGGGCGTGGGCCACAGGAATAAGCGTGTATGATAAGCACCCCAGGGGGGTTAAAGTGTATTGGTAGGGGGAAATTAGCTCATAGTACACAGGATAAAAAATCTGAACAAAGGCTGGATGTGGTGGCTCATGCCTGTAATCCTAACACTTTGGGAGGCTGAGGTGGGAGGATAGCTTGAACCCAGAGTTTGAGACTAGCCTGGGCAACATTGAGAGACCCACCTCTACAGAAAACAAAACAAAACAAAACAAAACAAAATTAGCCAAGTGTGGTGACGTGTCCTTATAGCCCTAGCTACTCGGGAGGCTGAGGCGAGAGGATTGATTGAGCCCAGGAGTTGGAGGCTGCAGTGAGCTATGATTATCTCAAAAAACAAACAACCCGCCCCCACCCCCCCAACAGTAGAAAAGAAACATCTGCTGCAACTGTCTCCTTGCCACCTCCCAAGTCCCCTCCCTGGAAGCACCAGGTTCCAGTGGCAGTCCATTTCCAAGCACATGAACACATAGACGTGTTTGAACACAGGACCAGGCCAGGTGATGCCGAAAGCCCAGTGAAGCCAGAGAAAGGCTGCACAGGGGCCTCTGGGATGTGTCTTCATCACCTCTGTAACCTCCACCCGTACCCCCTGCCACGCTCCAGCCTTGTGGGACAAGCCCCAGCTCAGCCATTGAGAATGCTGCTCCCAGTCTGTGTGACTTGCCTCATGTACTTCTTATTGCTGAGAGAGCCTTTCTTCCTGTTTGGTTGCCCAACAAATGCCTATTTATCCTTCAAGACTTAGCTTAAGTGCCTCCTCTTCCAGGAAGCCTTCCAGCCTGACTCTGTGCCCTCACTCTGCGTTCTCTGCAATTCCACATTCACTGACACCCAACTGATTATGCTTTCCTGCTTCCTCTTTCTGTGCCCCCACTGGACGGTGAGCCCACTGAGGCTGGGGCCATTCTTGTCGCCTGTTGGATTGCTGAGTTCCAGTACAGCACATGTAGTACACAGATACTCAGTAAGTGGTGTTTATCAGATGTCTACTTAGCAGCCATTCTGTCTCATTTTTGCCTTTTGCGGTTTGGAAATCCACTCCACAGTGCTCTTCAGCCTCACCCAGGCTCTCCTGATTCTTGGCACTCCAGAAGGGTCTGGTGGAGGTGGGGAGAGGACCCTGTGCAGAAGCTGTAAGGAGGGTGCTCTCTCCCTGAGTCACACGAAGGAAGTGGTCCTCAACTCCTGGCACACGTCGCTGAGAGGACTCAAAGGGGATGCATGTCCTGGGATGGGGAGACTCAACCCCAAGTTTTCCTGCCAGGGGGTTGCCCTGCTGGCAGCAGGTGAGCAGGACCGGGCTTGGTGGAGTATTCCTGGCAGCAGCAATGCACCAGACCTGCCTCCTCCTCACCCGTGCAGTGGGAGCAGGTGGCCCGGCTGCAGGGAGGGGGTAGGGAGACCCAAGAGAGGGAGGGGCATGGGAGAGGAAATTGAAAAAGCGGAGGGGGGCTTGGGAGTGTGCGGCTGGCCAGGCGGTTGTTTGACGAGTAAATGTGCTGGGCACGCTAATGAGCTGTGCTCATTCATGGCGAGCTGCCTCCTGAATCGGGGAGCTGGCCAGGTTCTGGGGTGGAGGAACCAGGGATGAGAGCCAAGCTGGGGAGCTGCCCGGCTGCTGGGGCAGGGCCTCCTGTGACGGGCTGTCGGGGGGAGTCTTTGTCCTGGGTCTGGGGGGGCTCCTTCCTTCCCTCCCTTCAGAGGAAAAGCCAGGCTTTGCCAAGCAGCAGCAACTCAGCTCAGGGCCTGCTTAGAATTCACTGTCCAGGCTGGTCTGGAAGCTTCTAGGGCAGGGGCTGGCTCTCAGGAGCCACGGGCAGGGCTGATCTTGCACCTTTGCTCTCCCACTCCTCCTCACACCCCTTCACCCTGAGGACCAAAGGGCAGGGCTAATCAACACTCTTTCCATTCTCGACATGGGTCCTGGCTTCTGAGGGGCCTTTTGAGGTCATGGGGCTGGGAGCTACTGCTGGAGCAGAAGGTTGGAGGCCAGGCATCTCAGCAGCCTGAGTGCTGTCTGTGACAGGCCTACTAAGTGCCACATGCTGGGGTGCGTGTCTGGGGGAGCAAGTGAGGATGCCAGGGTGTGGGCAGGGGTGTGGGCAGGGGTGTGGGATGTAGAGGGTACAGAGAAGCAGCTGCAGGTGCCAAGAGGGGATAAACAAAGCAGCAGGCACCAAGGAAGGGGGGATGCCACTCTGTCCGAGGCTTCGAGGAGGGCACGGGTAGAGGGCCGGGGCACCGTGGAGCCGGAGCAGGAGCTGGTGGGCTGCAGGGCAGAGGTGGCCCTCTCAGACCCCATCCTGGTTTGTGGGAAGCTTCCCTAAAATCCCCCCACACAGGCATCCCTGAGAAAGCCCTGCCCCCTGAGAAACTGAACTGATGCTCAAGAACCCACTGCTCGGATGGAGGTCACGGACGGGGATGTGTGAAATCAGCTGCATAAATTGTGACACACTGGCCACGGCTCTGTCTGTGCCATGACAGCAGAGAGGCTGCAAAGTGTTCATCAACATGGAAAAGAAAAACAAAGAAAATGCCTGAGACTTGAGTACCTGGTGGGTGATAAGGCTTCAGCCTTGTGGAGTCTATCAACCTCCCCCACCCCCACCGACACCCTCCCTGCCAACTGTGTCCACGCTGTGCCTGCTCCCGGCTGCTCCTGGGACAGGAGGTGCTTCTCAGGCTGCCCAGCTGTGTCCTCTTGCCAGGCAGCCTCCGATCAGGGCCCTGACTGCTGGACACTGCCCCAGCGAGCCACAGCTGTCCTTAGTTTTGAGGAGGTCTTTTAGCTTTTCTGGGGTTGAGGAGAATTCCTTCCCCACCTGGATGTCCTGTGCACACCCATGTCCACACATGCCTTACAGTGAGAAAGGTCCCTACCCAGCTGAGTGTGAGGCCTGGGTCTGACTGGGGTGGCCTGTGGGGTTCTCTCCAAGCAGGCCGTCCAGACCTTTGCCAGCCTTCTCTGTTTCTTTTGATGGCAAGATGAATATTCGTTTTCTTTTTTCTTCTTTTTCACTCCCCACGCAGTTCCACTCTGAAGCAAGGATATTCCTTTTCATTTGTTTCTACCTGTCAGAAATGGAGGCACACTGATGTGAGTGGAGGAAGACGTTTGCCAGATTTCCAAGTCCCCTTAATGTCTCAACTCTCTCTTCTACAACTGGGGAAGAAGCCAGTGTAACTATGGCACGAATGTGCCCTGCTGAACCAATGTCCCAATCAGAGCCATTCTCATCCTGGGCATGGGATGGGGCTGGCTTGTTCCCCTCTGAGAAATGGGTGCATTGAGGTAGGGAGGAGACTGTTCTTGGCCTAGGGCTTTCATGGACCCCCAAGGCTCCACCCTCAAAGTCCAGGCTAAGTAAGATTGGTGGCTTGAGGATGCCACCTGGGGCGCAGGGTTTCCCCTCACCAAGAATTGACATAGCCAGTAGGGTGGGGCCAAAGGCCGCTTCTGCCGTCGGGGGAACGGGGGAAACGGGTCTGGGCCCCAGGGGAAGGCGTCCAAGCAGCAAAATAAGATCCCCCTCCCACCCTGAGCTAGCAGCTGGGGCCAGGGGTGCCAGGGTGCGTGCACCTAAATGTGCGCGTCCTCGCCGTGTGTGTGTGTGTGTGTGTGTGTGTGTGTGTGTGTGTGTGTGTGTTTAGAGTCGGGACTTGGCAGGTCGAGCCATAGCCCACTTCCCTCCTCCCCCCTCCCCCGCAGCCCCTGCCCGCTGGCGGCGTCTCGGAGGTTCCACCTTTGAAACTGCAGGCGGCTCGCAGCCGCCGAGTGGTCGTCGAGAGAGAGGAGCTGTTGGGGGAGGGCGGGGAGGAGCCTGGCCCTGGATGTGTGCTTTTCGATTGATGGATGACTGCCGGGTGGGAGCGAGCGCGCGGGTGTGTGTGTGATCGTGTGTGTGTGGTGTGTGCGCGGGGTGCGTGCGCGCGCGGGGCCTGCCCATTTTCCTCCTCGCAGCAGTCATTTGGGAGCTGGAGGGAGGGAGAGGGAGACGCAGGAGGCGAAACAGCAGAGGAGCTGAGCGCCCTCCGCCCAAGGCGCCCTCCCTCAGTCAGCGCACAGGCGCCGTCGCTTGGAGGAGCAAGGTGCCTCCCAGCCCGCGGGCTCTTGGGTGGCTCTGCCCCGGGACGGCACCTGGAGGCGGCCCCGGACGGGGATGGTTAGCGGCTGCCGCCGTCTGGCTCACGAGCGGGACGCGGCGAGGGCACCATGGCGCTGACGCCCGGGTGGGGGTCCTCGGCGGGGCGGGTCCGGCCGGAGCTCTGGATGCTGCTGTGGGCAGCCGCTTGGCGCCTGGGTGCCTCGGCGTGCCCCGCCCTCTGCACCTGCACTGGCACCACGGTGGACTGCCACGGCACGGGGCTGCAGGCCATCCCCAAGAACATCCCGCGGAACACCGAGCGCCTGTGAGTATGGCCCCCGCCCCTGGCTCGCAGGGAGCCCCAAGGTTGCCCTTCCACCCAGACACAATTCCGGGCTTGCGGGTGGGGGCAGGACCATTGGAGCCTGCCCGGGTTCCGCAGCCCACAGGCGGGTTATTGCCTGCCACGGTCTTTTCCGAGCCAGGAGCCTGGAGCGCCGTGGTTTCCCTTTCCCTGGGATTGAAAGGGCCCTCGGCGGGTTTGTCAGCTCCCGTCCTCACACCTGCACCCTGTACTTCGCACCCGCAGGCCCTCCCCACTGCGCCAGCACTGTATTCCTCCAGGGTGCCTGCGAACTGCTGCCAGAAAGCCTTGCTGGCACCCAGGAGGGACGCTTCCCACACTCACCGGGCACAGTGTCTCCTTTTGGGTACATGGGGCTACGGCTGCATTCAGAGCCAGCTGCTCGGATTCCCGCTCGAGAGCTTGCTCCTGAGGATGGGCAGCAGGGTGGGATGCAGGCGAAGTTTCTGGTCTGCCCCTTCTTCTCCATTGTTTCCCCCAGAGCCTGGAGAATTCTTCCCCGCAGGTGCCACGCATTGGTCCCCACTTCAACGCCTCCTCCACACCCAGCCATCCCCAACCCAGGCAGACAATGGGACCTGAGGGCTTTGGGTATGGGCTTGGGGTGTGTAACATTCAGCACCCGGAGAGGGGCAGGTGTGTCTTGCATGGAGAACCCAGTGCATAATGTCAAGAGGACAGAAGCTTGGAGAAGGGGGTCCAAGGTTAAAGACATTGACCATGGCAAGTCAAAAAAACAACAACAACAACAACAACAACAAAAAACAAACAAACAAAAACCACAGCATTTCTCTTTCCCTGTTCTCTCTCATTTTTGAATTCTTGAGGAAACTTGACCCTTTTCTAGACTCACTGAGCTGGTCGAGTGTGTGTGTGTGTGTGTGTGTGTGTGTGTGTGTGTGTGTGTGTGTTTACAGACCTTTATACTTAGTTTTCTGTGATTCCCCTGCAGAATGTGTGAGTTCCTAGTATTAAGGGGCCACCTTAATAGCGTGAGGCGATGAGAGTCCCTGTAATGGGCTGTGTATATGCAGATTTTGGTCACATGCAGGGCCTTTGTACTGCTCACAGAGGTGACTGGACCAGAAGATTTTTGAACAGGGCTTTGGAGAAGGCTGCTGGCGCCTTTGAAACCTACCTACTCCTTCCCACACTCGTCAGTGACTGCTGTGGCTCTCAGGAAAGGCGTGCATATTTTGATAACTTTCGTGCACATTTTCATGGCTTCCAGCTGTTCAGAGACAGAAAATTGACCCTGAGGAGAACTGTCTCCTGAATCAGACTCTGTACCAAGGCCAGCAATTAGCACACATTTGCCCCAGACTCTTCTTGGCTGCATCTGAAAAATTCCTGTAGAGGTTTCAGAGAATTTGCAATCTAGATACAATCTAGATGGGAAGTGTGTGTGTGTGTGTGTGTGTGTGTGTGTGTGTGTGTGTATGGTGTGTGAATGCCTGTGTGTTTTAGGACTGGGGAGAGGTGGTATCACACTGAGTTTCTATGGGCAGCCCATTATCCTATGTGGAATCAGAGAGGAACTGAGGGTCAGGAACCTGTCCAGAGGACCCCTGAGGTGGCCTGGTCACCCTTCATGCCTGTCCCCTCCATACCTGCTTCCCACCTGTCCACTGGAGTTTCTCCTGCAGCTGCTACACTGGCTGTAGTCTAGATTTAAGACACATATATTAGCCCCTCTTCTTTGCTTTTGAATTTTGAATCTTAAAATCACCTCCTTCATCCTTACTCTCTTACCACCTTTAGTGTTTAAGACTTCATGAACTCTTTAGCTCTTCTGTGATCAGAGTGAGATGAAAGTGAAATTTCCTAGTACAGAGGAAAGAATTGGTGTTCCGGAAGTTATACTACCTGGGTTTCCCAGCTCTGTAACCTATTAGCTGTGTGACTTTGGGCAAGTTTCGTAACTTCTCTGAACCTTGGTTGCTTTCCATCAGGAAAATGGGGCTGAGGCTAAGGTCTCTGGTTCTTGTGAGGATGGAAGAGCATGTATGGGAAGTGCTTGGTACCTTCTGATGTTTGCTAAATGAGAGCCATTATTATGAAGGGATAGGGAGGGGCATCTCATTATTTTAATTCAGCAAATGTTTCTGAAGCCAGGAACTGCCCTGGGTGCTGAGGGAGTGAGCCCACCCCTGTCCTCAAGGGGCACATGGTCTAGAGGACTGGGCAGAGGACCTCTAACTGAGCTCTCAGGAGAGGGAGGGCCAGGCAGCCTCGGGGAACTGGCTGTGGGAACACAGGGATGCGAAGCCCTTTTCCAGGTGAAGGCATTTCTTAGAGGATGGGCCACTTTATCGAGGTTGGATTGGTTTTTGCCAAGCAGAGAAGGGAGGCAATCTAGGCAGAGGGAACAGCTGGGCTCCAGGCCCAGCACATTCTGCTGCTTGTCAGGTCATGAGGCATGCTCTCTGTGGGCCTTTTTTTCCCCCTGTTTTGTAGAGATGAGGATCTGGCTATGTTGCCCAGGCTGGTCTTTAACTTCTGGGTTCAAGCAATTCTCCCACCTCAGCCTCCCAGAGTGCTGGGATTATAGACGTGAGCATGAGCCAAAAGCCTGCAGGTGTGAGTATAGGGCAGAAGCCTGCAGGTGTGAATGAGTATAGGGAAGAAGCCTGCAGGCGTGAGTGAGTATAGGGAAGAAGCCTGCAGGTGTGAGTGAGTATAGGGAAGAAGCCTGCAGGCGTGAGCGTGCCTGGCCCGATATAGGCAGATGGGCCAGCTTGTCCGTGGGGCTGAAACATGCTGTGGCCAGTGGCCAGTGGGTGGGATAGGACTTGAGGCTGGAAAAGAGGTTGGGAAGGGTCAGGAAGCCTTTCCACATGTGGACTTTTCCTCTAGAAAATTCCAGGGGTGAGTTATCCTGTGGAAGTGGAGCAGGATCTCTGCCATGTGGTTAAAGCTTCCTGCACTGGGAAAGCGCAGGGAGCTGGCCTGTTCTCCAGGCAGCCCGTGAAGGAGCTGCTCGAAGAGGAAAAGAACATCTTGAAAGAGGCCTTGGTGAGAGCCCAGGCAGACTCAAAATAACTGTGGCAAATGCTCTCTCTAATCAATATGAGTGTCGTGCAGTATCAGAGCCTGGAACAGCGGCTTCTTCTGAGGCTGTGAAATTTTTATGGACTGCAGCTGTGCATTCACCTTTTGTACTTCGGGCAGTTCCTGTGGCAGCCTGTGAAGCTCGGTAACTTTATGATCATATATTCTATAACTCTGGGTCCAGGCCTGTCCCCCCAAAATGGAAAGAAATTGTCATTGCTGCAGGGACTTCTGGGAAGAGATTGAGTAGGTCCCAGAACTGCTGAGGAAATTAGTTCAGCCAGAGGGGCTGTGGGCTGGGCAGGGAAGGGATGCTAAATAATTCACTGTAATAAACAATTAAAATACAGAGCCAGGGATGGGAGAGGCAGCGGGGGAGGCCGGGAAGCTTCGACTCTTTGTACTGCCCAGGCGCAGAGGGACCCAGCTATGGTCACCAGTAAGTTATTTTTTTTCCTTCCACAATGACCTTGACTTTCGGTTGGACTTGATTTTTAATTAAAAAAATCTTATAACTAGAGTGTCCAGGAGTGTGTGACAGGTGAGTGCAGTATAGGTAGACATCACCCAGGTGTGAGGCTTGTGCCTGTGGCAGATTGCCCAGAGAAGGGAGGTCGCCTGAGCGTGGAGGGAGGCAAGCAGGGCCTCCGGGAAGGGCTACTGTTTGCCCTTTGCCTCCAGGCCCAGCACATTCTCCTGCTTGTCAGGTCATGGGTCCTGCTCTCTTGTAATCCTCTTTTTTTTTGCTTTTTCTTAGAGATAGGGATCTTGCTAGGTTGCCAGGCTGGTCTCAAACTTCTGGGCTCAAGCAATCCTCCCACCTCAGCCTCCCGAAGTGCTGGGATTACAGGCATGGGCCATCGTGCCCAGCCTTGCTGTCCTCCTTATGTGCTCTTCCCTCCTTGCCAGTCCTTCCAACCTGTTCTATCTCCACGTCTGCTGCAGAGGCCTGGGAGGTGCGCTCTGGGCTCAACTCCCTGAGCTGGAGGTCCCGTGGAACAGGGCTGGGTGGTCACACGTAAGGAAGGCTGCCCGGGGCAGCTGAGGCTGATGCTCTGGGGAGCCTGTTTGGAATGCCAAATAGTAATTGGATGCTGATCTCGGTAAATGAGGTCAGGAGCCACTGCAGCCACATTTGCTATCGGGCCTGGTGGGATCTGAGGAGGCCACCATGGTCTCCTGCAGCAGAGACCTGCGCTGTGCAGGGGAGGTATTTCCTGGCAGGGCAAGAGTCTCCAGCTTGCTTAGGCTTTGATGTGGTGGCCGGCGCCCTGGCATGTGGCTGTGCTCTGGATGACTGGTGTTAGGACCCTCGTGCTGTGCCTCTCCTTGCTCCGAGACTCAGTTTCCCCATCTGTAAAAGGGGATGGCGACAGTTCTGCAGGTTGTTAGGAGCACATGAGGCAGCGCTCCTCGCTTGGTGCATGGCTGGTGTTTACCCTTGCCTCAGCCTCTGGGGATGATAACACCTATATCTCAAAGGGCCTTTGCAAGATTCACTCATGCTATGGTTGTGAAATGCTTTGTGATTCAATCATTAAATGATTATTGTTATTATTTGGGAAGCTCAAGCTCCAGGCTGGAGGTTTCGGGTGGGGCAGAAGAGAGCTCGGGAGGTAAGGATCTGAGCGTGGGGGCGTGCTGCCGGGGACTCCTGCAGTCTGTCTGTCGAGAGCGCTCATTTACCTTCCCTGGGCATCTCTGCCCCTTTGCCTTGGGATCTGGAGACAGAGTGGGGACCATGCAGGGTGGGTGATCATGATGGCATGGTTGTGAAGCCAGACTACCTAGGTTTTTAACCTGACTCCGCCACTCAGCAGCTGGGGAGGGCCTTGGGCAAGGGATGGGGTTTAATTTCCTCATTCAACAGATAGCTATCTATTGAACGTTTGCATTGTGCCGGGTGAATA